TAATTTTGGGAACCCTAATCCCTATAAACCCCTATATAATCCCAGTTTCCATTTCATTTTCCATTTTCTTTTCCATTTGATTCTCCAGTATAGTAGGTACCCCTAATTTTGGGAAACCCCCAAATCGTTCGAGAGAAATCTCAGGTCCACCAGCTTGCCGCCGCCGGTCACATGCACCACCTCGCTGTTGTCCGCGTCTTCTCTACGGACGAGGAGGCCCTCCTTGCAGGGTTGGGGGGGGGGGGTTGGGGATTTTATCCAGAAACTCGACAAACCTCACCCTCAATCCAGGTTCTAGAACATGGCCGATGTTGCAGGGCTTGTTTGCAGCTGCAACCTACGCTTCGGCTTCATGGCCAAGTGGTCTTCCGGCGGTAGCTGTGCCCACGTTCTTGCGGTCACAGAAAGCTGCAGGTTGCGAACAGGCAGAAAGCTTTGCTTGAACCAGAGGCGCTGGCACCCCTTTGGCAGATGGCTGCTCAGGTCCCTGTTGACTTGAAGCCCGCAGATGGCTGCTCAGCATAGCTTCCAAAACGTTCTAATTGCAGAATGCGCGTGTTCTCATTATGCTTTCTTTGCTTGGGCACTTTAAAGATTCTGGGAGAAGAAGATTTCAGAGCAGAACGGATAATCCTTTCTGTTGTTCCCCCCTCAAGTATGTATAAGAGCTATAGTCTCAACTCCTTAGAAGGAGGGTTATACCGGGGATCCTACAGGGAGTATGATAGGTGTTATGCAGGGGGATATTAACAGTTTAGACAATGACTCATATATGATTGTGCGCTCTGCGTTCCGCGCTCCCATCCCACAGTATCCCCGCCAAGCCCTCACCACAAAAAGGTTGGCAAGGCTTGGTTCATCCTCGCCCCTTAAAAGCCATCCATAGAATATCTTCAAATCTCCAAGGATAATCTCTATAATTCCCTAAACCCTAGAAAACGTCACATATTCTCCAAATTTCCCTTCCAAGATTTCCCTGATAAGTTTATCACAATGTCTTTGAGGCGGTCTCCATATATCATCTCGTAAAATTTATTCATCATCTCGAAGACCCAAGCCTAACCCACCACACCACAGGGGTACCGGGGGTGGAGGAGGTGGGAGCACAACCATGTGTATATACATATATATATATACATGTATATGATGTGTACACATGGATAAAGGTGTCTCGTTTGAGGGTGGGAGTCTCAGAGATGTGACCGTAACGTCTTCTAGTCTGGGTCGACTTAGAAAACCAAGGGTGTGCTTTCAAAAGGTTGGATTTCAGCCGCATAGTATTGTACATATTGAATATGGATTCAAGGATTGCGGGACATTCAGGGGCCAAATTTCTTGTGTCCTTACTTAACCATTCTTAGCTGTGTGAAGTGGACTGTTGGCATGCTTTTTGCTACAGCTTTCTTGACTGCGGCATTTTATCTGCTTCGGTGAGAGTTTGAGATCCAGGATTTTGGGTGTGGCAGCAGACTTTCATGCTGTTGATACTAAACCTCCTACACGACCTTACGAGACTAAACCTCGGCACTTCAGTCATACAAGATGTATCAGAAGCTATACATTCCTAATCAGCCTCTCACTTCCGGCTATGCTTGCTACCATGTTGCCACCGGCCCATACAATGCAAGCTGGCCTGGATGCTCCATGCTTGTCAGACTGCCAGGAATACCTTAAAATGGACCCCCCACCCAGCAGTGACTATGATGGATAATGGTGATAGTGTTACGGCCCTCTTTTTTTCTCCTTTTATACCACTATTGAAGGGTGGGGGTCCACCTAAGGAATACCCGCTTTACCAAAATAGGCATGGTAAGGTAAAGAGTGGGCTAGACAAGTAAGGCTCCCTTTATCAGCCGTAGTCAGAAAGGCGGACATAAAGCTTGAAGGACCCCGAGGGCGTGGGATGAGGTTGCTTGCCTCCAAACGTCAACATCCCTGCACACCATCCCCAGCTTTGTTTTTTGCCCAAGCCCTAGACCCTGTTTTGTCCAACCGGCCCTTCGACCCACTTCGCTCCCTTGGCTCCTATGATGGGCAGGTGATGCTCCTGAAAGACAGTGGCGCGATGTGGGACACCGTGAAGCCTTGCATGACACTGGGCTTGAATACATGCAGGTGACTAGGATCCTCAAACAGAGACTATCTTGATGCAAAGAGAGTGCTTCCCATTTTTCCATTTTAGACTATAGTGGTTTCCATTTTCTTTTCCATTATTCCCATATAAACAGCAATATACTATAGTAGTTTCCATTTGATTTTCCATTATCCCATTATAACCCCCATATTAAAGAGTCCATGGACTTAAAGTGCTGAGTCGAGAGGCTGTTTGCCTGAGGATGCTTCACTTATCATCAACGCTAGAAGGTGCATTTGTCTTCTCTGCAAGCAGATCGAAGAAGATTGGTCTGTAACATAAGAAGGCCTGATTGTTCCATGGTGCTTACTGGGTAAAAGCGGTGGATTAGGGAGTTACGGACTTTTGCTAAGGTCTTAGGCGGCCTGTTTTCAAAGTCTAGCCAGACCTTGACCAGCGAACTGCATAATAGCTGATGTTTCCAATAACAAAGCCAACCCTAAATAGTAATATCCATTTTATTCCATTATCCAAAAATGACCGCAATATAACCCCAATGCTGCCCCAATGGGTACCTACATCTCTTATATTTCCTAAGCCAATGACTGCTGAGGATGAAGTCGAACATGAGCGAGATTGACCTCATCCTGGTCTACAGCAACCTCCAAGACCATTCAGTTATATAGTCCCTCTTAAGTAGATAGATTATGGGGTATATGGGGCCCTTACTATAAGATACCCAAAGCCATATTCTACTTAAGGGGGACTATAGCCGTATAGGAGCTCAACATCTTCCAAGGGTATCCCCTGATCTTGTTGTTCACACTTGTATCCATATGCCTCTCCCAAGATCAGCCTAGAGGCTTCTTGGAACATATCATATCAGGGTTGTATACGGATAGTGGGAGAGAAAATGGAAACTACTACGTCATAATACCATTTCTTGTCCACAAAACTGGGAAGGACATTTTTTAAAAAGAGCACGTCGGTCAGTTCTCTTTCGGTTTCAGGCAGCTTCTTGCTGTGAGAGCCATTTGAAATGTCTTCTACTTGATTCCGAAACTCATTCTCATGCCCTTTGACCTTGAATTTGTTAAGAAGCATAGGCGTGGCATGTCTGGAAGCGATCAGGAAGAGTTCTTGTCAAGAATCGGAGAGATTCTCTCATTTTCATAACGCACAGTAGAGATTGCTGCTGCAGAAGGTTTCACAGGTTACAGTGGGTGAGCATGGCTGAGATCACTGGGCATCAAGACCTCCCATGGATTTGTCGCTTCCAGCATTGCCAAAGGAATGGTGTAAACTACACACAGACTTCATGGGTTTGGAGAGAGCCAGAAACTTGTTCTTGTTTTCTTCTATCTTCTCGGTTCTTGGCAATATGGGCTGCCAAAAATTAGTGGCTTTCTCTGGGAGTCAAAATGATAAGGATTGTAGCATATTGGCATCCATATTTGGGCTCCTTCTTTGAAACCTCCCAGAAGATCAAAAACAAACTTTGTTGTTCTTTGTATGTCCTCAGTTTTTGGCGAAGTTTTGGGTCAAGCCACTGCTCCTAAACCCTAAACCCTAACTCCCAAACGCTAAAACACCCATGATCTACCGCCAAGAAGGTTCTGGAGGCCCTGGGCCTGAAGAGCTCCAATTTTTTGGTGTCTCAGGGTTGAGGGTTTAGGGACTAGGGTTTCGGGGTGTAGGGTTTAGGGACTCCACTACCTGCTACCCCACTACCAATCTAGACCCAAATAAAGACTACGGAATATGGCTTCAATAGTTGTGGGGTAAGGGGGTCCGAAGAGCTCCTGCAGGTCACTGTTGCTGGACGTCATGTCTGGTTTTGTACTCAATGCATCTGTCAACTACCTGATTTCTGGTTCCTGTTCTCCTCGCAGACATTTTGAGAGATGACATGGTGCTGTCAGCCGTTTTATGCCAGACGAAATTGTTGTGTAAGAAGGGGAAATTGGCCTAAGGTATTTCAAGGCAAGCAGGTTCTTGTTGTTATACGAACGTTTCTTGCATCGTCAAAGCTGTGACTGTATCTTGTGACCGTGGAACCCGATTCAACTGCGCTCTGGGTTCCACTGTGGCTAAGAGCTTTACATTTTCCACTATCAGTGTGATACCCCGTGCAGACGTCACGAGGGTTAATTGACCTTGAGCAGCCTTTACAGAAATCCCAAGATTGCAAATTGTCTTGCTCCGCGCGTGAAGCCTGCAGACTGCACAGAATCCAGCAGAACAGCAGCTTACCAAATCGCCTACAGGAGCACTTAGAGGCCTTGAGCCCCAGAACCTACGAATGCCTGGCATCCAAGGCAAGGACCTCTCTATGAACATGATGGCCCATAAGGCAGGTTGCTTGAGCCGTGGTACGTAAGACATAATCATAGGTGTTTTGTCAGAGATGATGATGCTGGTGGCGGTGGGCGTGGATTGGTCCTCAAAGGGCCTGTGTTCGCGGCCGTACGTTTGTGGTCAGGTCGTGGGCGTGGCTGCTGCTTTTGCTTCTGCCGCTGCTATGCTTCTGCTGTATACATATATATATATATGTGTATATCTATATTATTTTCGCAAGGACTTATATACGTAGGGAACCTGTTCATGTGGTGTTTGATGTGCTCTCCGTCGAGGGCTCAGGATAACTCTGTGGTGCAGGTCTCTATATAGCATTCTCCATTATGGGAACCGTAATGTAGGTCATGTCAGCAGTAACCTATAACGGGCCCATGTATGAAAACCCTACACTAGAAAAGCCCAAGCCACTTAGCCCCCCCTAAGTAGATAGAATATGGCTCTGGGTATATTGTAATAAGATCCCCACATACCCCATAATCTATCTACAAGGGGGACTATACTCGAAGAGCCCTGTTACTAACCCTGAAGGGGGGCCTGGATTTATGAAATTCCTCAATTAATGTTATTAGGGTCCCTAGTTCCGGACAAGTATCCTTGCGACGTCCTTTTTTGTCATCCATCAAGACCCCTTTTGTGAAAAGCTTGGAAATCAGACCCTCCAAGGTAGTTGAGGCAAATTCGCTGATTCCTCCTGTTTCAAACGAATGGCAAATCCCTGTAGTATGTTGATTTCAGGCCAGTTTCAGGCCGTGCGCTAGCCTCGTCGGCGTCCTCGTCGTAGAGCTTGTAATAGTAATTCTAGTATTGGTGCTCGTGGTTGTCGTCGTTGTACTAGTAGTCGCAGTAATAGTCAGGATTAGTTGCCGTTGTCATCATCGTTGTTGGCGGTGGCGCAAAAGCAGCAGCGGCTGTAGTCATCGTAGTAGCTGTAGCTTCAGAAGTAGGAGTAAAAGGTGGTAGCATGAGAAGAACATGAGGCAGTATTAGTGTGAGCGTCACCTCTTGCATTTGTCCTGCGGATGTGCCCTACCTACGTAAGGGCCCAGAACTTACAACCAGTTGATTCCTTTTCACGTGGGTGTTTCAAGTCGTACATTACTGCAGCAGCACATATAGCTTGCCACCCGATTGGGGGTCAGTAAAGTAGGCAAGTATTGTGTTCCAATCTACGCGACTTCTGGGGAACAAGGACGCTTATCTTCCCCAGTCTGATGTGTCGACAGGCTGTCATGGATCTGGAGGATGGCTTCATGATGAAGATGGACATGGACATGTACAACATGACCAACATGACCAACGGCACCATGTACGACTGGATGAAGTGCTTCTCGCTCCTGGGCAGAAGTAATCATGCTATAATATATCATAATATACAACCATAATATATTATGATATATGATAATGTACTATATCAGGTCATAATATATTATACTAATCTTCGCAAAAGGCAGAGTGCAACTGTGCAGACCGAGACGTGCTGTAGGGACCATTAACCACGGGCATATGTCGAAAAAGAACGTTGTTCCGCAAGCACACGAGTGCTGACCCTGCCTATCATGGCTCTCACTTAGCGACTGCGACACATGCGATGGCCACTTGCTTCTGAGGAAGATCACGCACATGTCGGCCATGCTCAACCCGGAGCAGGATGTGTATGACAGCAACGGGTACACCACGAACAAGCACTGGGTTTCCGGTTGGGGCCTCCAGAGGGCAGGTCTGAATCTTGATGGGTAGCTCAGTAGCGGTGATTTTCCTGTGTAAGAAAGGAGTACCTCTACAGCGCCACACTGGTTTTGATTCCGCAGGATGCTTGGTACCTTGCTTATGAAGGACTGTGTTTGCAAAGGTCAAGCCGCAAGTTTTGATTGCTTGCTTGCATTTTTTGATGCGGGATTGACCATTCCGGTCAGCGGTCGGCACCCAGTGTTGAATCATTCTCTGAAATCAGATACTCAGAAGCGAGATTGAAAGTCTGGAAGAAACGCTTATGATTCTTTGAGTGGCAACCACCTTAGCGGAGAAACTCATTTGTAGGCTTGTCCAAGCCTGGATTCAGTCTAGACTCAATGTGGAAATGGGATGGGCATCCATAAGGGTGACAGCTCCGCGGATCTTGCAGCATCACGTAGACCCCCATGTCTTCTGCAAGCTCGTTGCAGGTAGGTTTCACAGAATGTCTTCTGCTCAGTCGTCAGCAGTTGCCCTGTGCATTCAATAGTGTCTGCCTTTTCCAAGGTCCCAACACCGTCTTCAAGAGCATCATGGATGCCATGTACATGGGTGACTGGAAGGGCATGTATGACGCTTTCTTCCTGATGGACCGGGGTTCAAGGGGGTGGAAGCGGGTGAGTGGGAAGGGAGGCAGGCAACTTTGGCGTAGTCGACCCGTTGGACTTGTTGTTGTGTAGAACCACTCCCTGGTAGACCTGACTGGGCAGAGAGGAGTTCAGTCGTCTGCGGGCGCGCAGGTTTCAATCAGTGCTTCGGGTTCATGATGAATGGTTACTATACTATATATAGTATACTATAGTATACTATAGTGTAGTATAGTGTATTATAGTATATTATTGTATTCCTGCTTGTCATTATTGTTATGATTAGGCTATGGGTCTTGTCATCAACAGTACTACCATCACTGCTCTTCTTTTTTGTTGCTATTGTAGCTCCTATTAATATTTGAACCATAGGCCATAGTCTAAACTCCTGGTATCCCCTCAAGGGTTTAGGGTTTAGCCCTATATAATCTCCTGTATAACCCCTCTAAGGATTTTAGACTATAGCTCATTTCGTACATGTCTAGTGTGGAGTGCAACGTGAGCCGGCCTTCGCTCTCGGTCGGGCCATTGCATTCCAACTACACTTGCACCATGTTTGGTTGATTTTAAGGACCTTGTCACAAAGTTACCACGGTCAGGATACCATAGTATTATATTCTAATGAATTCTGGTAAGTTACGTGGACTTCCCCAACAACAGCCCATTGTTTGATGTACGTTGTCATTGGTGTTCAAGCTACCCAGTTGGGGAATAAGGATCCGATGTTCAAGTTGTTTCTGTTTTTCATGGTGATCTAAAGTAAGTTGGCAAGAGTAGGTAGAAAACGCGTGCCTTTGCCATAGAAGGTAGGTCATCCCTTCACTTTAGGCTGGGCTGACATGCTTCGCAGTTGTGGATCTTTACGTATGAAGCAGCCAAACTCAGTGATAGTTGCAGTGAGGTTGTATAAATCTACTCTGAGACGACATCCTACACGCTACCCGTACGCAAACCGTATAGAATTCTTACATCATCTCCTGCGAGGGTTTGGGCCTAGCTGCAGCTGTCAATACCTTTTCCAAACGCATTCTTGGAAGCAGTAGCAGCAGGAGAAGAGTAACAGGAGAAAGAGGAGGAGCACCAGGAAGAGAAGCAGGAGCAGTAGGAGGAGCAGGAATCGGAGGAGCGCCAGGAGGCCAGGAGAGGCAGCAAGAATGACAACATCGATCAATCATTCCCCGCCGATCTCTTTGAGAGATTCGCCCCGGCCTCCCTTGGCATGCCCTCGACAAAGAGCCGTGAAGTCTGAAAAGAATTTTAGCTGGTATACGATTCGATTGATCATGTACTTAGCCTCCGCAACTTCACCCGCACGCATGCTCAACGGCCAAGCCAAGACCATGTCACCAACTTTCACGAGAGAATGCGTGGCGCACCACCGGCCATTTCAAGGGCTGGAAGAGACGCATCGGCTGAGGCGCCCTCGCTGTGATTGCGGTGGGCACATACAAGCGGCTAGCAGCAGCTAGCATTGCTGTAAGGACTGCCGTAAATTTGAAATTGCGCGCACAAATGTCATGTGCGAAGAGTCAAACGCATGCGCACTGCGTGCTGATCGTGATGCGCGCACTTCCACGCTATCGCACGCTGCTTGTCTAGCCTCCTGCGAGGCAGCACCGCGCACGTCGTCTTCGCTCACGGGCACGCGGAGACGGGCACTTCCGGTTAAGAAGAGGAAATGCGCAACCGTCTTCCTGCAAGTGTCACCCGCAAGCACACCGTAATGTCTCAGACGCGAGCGCGCTTTTCTATTTGCAGGTGAAAATGAGATTACCCAAAACGCACATGCTTAATTCAAGCAGTGCCCGGTACAAGGTTCGCTGAGGTGAACCTTCGGTTTTCCTGGGATCCTTCTGGAAGTCTGCTGCTCCGTCCAGCAGCCAGTATGTCATCATGGCAGGAGATGGATGCCGTTCCCATCAAGCACTACTGGCTTGAGCAGTTCGAGATGGAGGTCGGATCTCCCCTCCACCCTCATGCTTCTTGTTGTTCAGGCCACAAAAAGCGATGGTTACAGTTACAATAGTACTGTTTGTCTGCTATCACCTTTGTGTACGGTCATGACGCTTATCAGCATCATGGCCATGCGACACGGATTCCTGCTTTTGTTGCTTCTTCTTCCTCCCCCTGCTGAAGAAGGCTTCACAAAGCGTGGCACACCCAAGACCAGGACCGAAACTCAAGACCATAGAGCCTGCCAACCCTAGCCCCAAATCAGAAGTATTTCAAGCTGTTGGTCAACAAACATCTCAAGAGCCTTTTGGTTGTAGACTCTTGCAATGGGAGCAATCTTACTTGATTCAACCACCAAAACAGCGACTATACAGATGATGCTTTGACAGGCTGCGGAGATGAAGCCGGGCAACATGGCCGTCCGGGGCAGCCAGTATCTAGGCGCGTTCCCTGTAAAGCCAGTGCTGAAAAATCTCGTGAGGACTCGCAGAGGTGACTCAACGTCTGTGACATCATGTATTGTGCAAAGGCTGGCAGACTTTGTGGGGTTCAGTCAGTGCACCTGAGACAGGCGACAAGTGGGACTTGTTCAAGCACATGATGCCGGAGTATTTGGTGGAGCACATCAACGGCAACGCCATCTACAACCTGGAGCATAACTGGACCAAGCAGCATGACTCATCAAGATTTTGCCCTGACTTCTGTGAACGTCACTTGAACTGCTTACTTGGGCTGTCACGTTCGCCAGTGCTGACCCCAACGTTGGCAGCAACAGCTATCCCAGACTATCACAGTGATACACGATTGCAGATTTGGTTGCGATGAAAGGGCTGGCACAGTACTTCCGTCAACAGGTTGCAGATTTGCCGCACGGCCGTTGTAGACCCTCGTCACAAAGAAATGAAGATCACCCCGCTGCTGCCACGAGCACCCACACTCTGCTGGTAATTCTGCTGCTGCTGCTAACACCCACATGAGGAGTTACAAGCAGAATATGACACCAGCGGGAAGAACAAAACAACTCCTATCATCCTGGGAACTAGGAACATCAAGTGTTAGCGACAGCAATTAGCCTAGGCCAGAGGAAGCTAGAGTTACTTAAGAATCATACTAGTGATTGCACCGGGTTTAGTACTCCCCAATCAGGAAGCATCAAATAGAAAAGAAAAATGGAACATGAGATGGGAACTAGAGTTATAGGAGGGTCCTGGAAGTACGTGCATCGCTGTAATCTTGAGAGATGCCATCCGCCAGCTGCATCAGCTTACTTCCGGCTAGTAGGGAATAAGGGAATATCTTTTATAGGGATTACATTCCTTTATTTAACTACAACCCCCCAGTAAGTCAGGTACTTGTACGAAACGTTCACCTCGAACGCAAATGACGACATGATGGAAGAGATGGCTTTCGATGTGGCATTTGTGCCATGGCATCATGTTCGAGCTTCTTCAAAAATGCCCCTTATGTATGCCTGAAGAGGGCCCACACAGTACAATAGCCCCATGGTACCTGAGGGTATTCCTAGTTTGAGAAACACCCATGTCTTGATAGTCAGAGCAAGCCAGCCATTCCGATGGCCCTCCCACAGTCCTCATGATGTGAACGATGCTGTTTCCAGAAGTATTATGCTCCTCAGAACAACCATGGAATTGGGAAGGTATCTCAATCTTCAAAACTTTTAAATCCCCTCAGAGCATGAAGACGCCTCTCTTGCAGTGCAAAAAGTATAGCAATGACGATGCTGATCACGGGTAGGAGGCAGTTTCTATTGTTTCAACAGTAAGAACCTTTTGACTTTCAGTATCAACCTCCTCTTTTTTTAATGCAATTTGCCCACTCACCGCGTTCCAAGGGTTGGCCACGTCAAGCCCGAATGGTTATCTCCATGATAACCTTTGCGTGTTTCACGTTGAGATCGTCTGTGCTTGGACACATCTTCAGGGCAACGGCACTGCTTGTGGTTGCCAGAGAGTTCTGCATTGAACAAATCTCCAATGACCTGTAGCTGTCTCTGAGGCATTCCTCCTAAGACTTTTCGGAGTTTTGTTTTCTACAGTTCCTTCATCGGCTTCGTAGAGAGTCCCTACCCGCCCTCTCCTCCAAACGCCTCGAATGACCTCGTACATGCTTGGCCTGGAATGCGAGAGTAGCTCTAAGCTCTGAGCGCTCCAGTTGCAAGGCAATGATTACCATGGATGCAATGATGGACAGCTCCATGATGCTTGGCGCTTCAAAGATAGGGCTATAGAGCATATAGTGAATAGTCACAGTATCAGGGTCCGCGTCCTTTGTACCTTGATTTCCTACTGTCCTCTCTCAGGGAGTGTGTCTAAGCCCACACAAGCTTCTGAGTCATACGCCCTAAGTATGGTTATTCACCTCCGCAAGGGAGTTTCCAACTATTGGATCTTTTCAAGGGGCTTAACTGTTGGGGTCTATGTTGATAGTAGTTTCCATTTCATTTTCCATTATGCCTATATACCCCTTATATAACCCCCAAAAACCCTAAACCCCAAATAGTAGTTTCCATCTTCTTTTCCGTCGTCCCTTTGTAATATTTTAGGGAGCCTGGGTAGACCTTGCAGGCCCAGTAGACCGGGCAGGCCCAGTGAGAGATTCAGTTAGTACCCCTTGACCTGCCAGCCCCTTACAAACAGTCCTTGGTATATCCACCTAGCCGGAATTCCTACTTTTTGTTGATCTTTCATGCTGTTCGTTTGTGCTAAGTTCAGACCATGCATAGTCATCTTTAAGAGCATCACACGGCAGATTTGCAAACAACGAATGGGCAGGCCTCTCTCACATTGTCGTGCTAAGAGCCCATCACGCCCCTAGCCTAGGGTCTCTTCAGGTTTGAGACGCGGTGGTTTTGTACAAAGAGGGCGACCCCACTACAGACCCCAAAATACCATAATCCTTGTTATTGAGACCCCCCCATTTTTTGGGAAACCCTAAACCCTATGATCCCCATAACATTCTTATCTCCCTAAATAACCTCCTTAAGCCAAAACCCTAAAGCCTAGTGTTGAGAAATCCCCACTGTAAGGTTCCACCCCGGCTGGGTGGCCGCCATGGGTAACAACATGACCTACAACTGGCACTCAATGCTGGTGGGCAACTACGTATTTGCCTCAGCTCTTGTGGTCTAGGGCTTAGGATTTAGGGTCGAGGATTTAGGGTTTTGGGCTCAGGGTGTAGGTCAGGATCAGCATGCACATCTGACGCGAGTTTGCGAAAACAACCCCTCTGCAGTTGTTAATTCGGAGAGGCCACGACCCCGTTTGTAGTAGTCCCTGTGAATATCCCTCGATGAGTATCCCTGTTTTGAGAACTCTGGGGTTACTTGGGTAGTTCCTGGGCTGCTGCTTTCAATGCTCAAGGCCTGTATGCTTTGTTCTAGCCTTTCAAGCCTGTCTGGTGTTTTTCAGGCGAACACCCTGCTCAACACGAGCTTCGAGTTCCCGACCTACATTCGCCACGGCTCAAGCAAGAACCTGTTTGAGAACTTGGAGGACGCTCTGACAGATAGTTGAAGCCTGCAGCGTTTTTGTGAACTGCCCTAGAGGGCCAAGAGTAGATCAGGATGTGCTGTGATACGGACGTTTAATGCCCAAACTCAAGAACATGTGATACTACAGTTTACTAATCGTCACGCAGAAATTTGTCTATCAACAGTATTCAAGTAGCCCGAACGGCAAATGCATGCCAGTCGTTTTTTGAGCTTGTTGGGGAAGCCCACTGTTAGGGTAAGGGGTCTCAGCAAGTGGGGTGATGAAGCCAAGTAATCTTAAGCACCGAACATAGGGTTTGTGAAGCTACTCTGTGGCTGCATGAAATGGTCGAGGCCTAAACTTCGAGCTCTAAAATCACCCCAAAAAGCCTGCAGGTATTCCGGGCTTAGTTTCGACCTGTACAAATTCGCGAATGGTCCTCAAAAGAATTCTGAAATGGTCCCGATGCAATCTTCAAAAGGTTCGCTATCGGTCCGCTTAATCCCCCTGGTTCATGTCCAGAGTTTGTGAAAAGGCTCTGATGTCTTTTGAGAGTCTCCCATTTTCCGAAAAGTAGATCCCTCTTTGGAGGCTTATAACTTCATAGCAAGGCCTTCTTTCTTGGAGGGAATTTCTTGGGGCCCTTATATACCTCTGCCGAAGTTGCAGATCTAGGAGGTACTTGGAGGTTCTCTTGCCTTGCTAAGTCTACTCCAGAACAGAGGTATGGGGATTTCAACAGGAGTTACTGGGGTCAGTAGGTAGGTGTAGTAAGTCAAAGAGATCATCCAAGTGCGTCGCAGGCCCTACGCCTTTTATACTGAAGCCAAGCCTTAGAGTTCGAGAGCCCTAAAGCCTCCTTGTAACAGAAGAGAGAATGGAAACTAGTATTCTATATTGAGGTTCTATAGGGGTAATGGAAAAGACAACGGAAGCCACTATAGTATATATGGTTCCCATGCTTCACCTTCTAGATCCTTCTAGCTTTGTGGGAGTTCCTGAATACAGTCCCTTGTTCATTGCTACAATCCCCTCATATTCTCGTTGTATCCCTGGGATCCGCAGGCTTAGCTACTTGTACCCCACTGATATGCACTACACGTCGTGGAGTACTCAAAGGGCCTACCCAATGCTAAACACCAAGCAGGATTGCTGTTAAGGAGCTTAGATCCAATTACCACATGATGAGTATATAGTAAGTAATAGGGGTTTCCTGATTCTCTAGTAACTTAAATTAAGTCCTTTAACAGCAACCCATGTTCATGGGCCAGGCTGTCATTGAACCTTGTGGGGAGGTTGGAAGTCCTAGCGCCCATATCGAAGGATGACGAAGTCACTTTGGGAGTGGCCTTCTTTGACATGCGTGGACACCTCAAGGAAACGGTCTGGGCCCAATACACCAGACATTCCACAGTAAATGCTTTTAGAATATTGTATCATATACCTTATAGCCTGTTATCATCATGACAGTGAATTGATAAAGCAGCGCCGCTGCTGCTGCTGATGACGATGATGCCGATGATGCCGATGAGGACAAGACAAAGCTGATGACGAGGATATGAGAATAGCCAGCGGTAGTGGCAGGGGTGCTCATGCATAGAAATAGGAATAGTAAGAGTAATAGTAAGAGTAAGAGTCAGAGAATTAGTAATAATAATAGTACTAGTACTAGTAATAGTAGTAGTACTAGTCAGAGTAATAAGAGTAATAAGAGTAATAAGAGTACTAATAGTAGTAATAATAGGCGAGCAGAAGTGTCAGTGAGGTGCCGACGACCCACCCCTTCAAGAAGATCCTGGGCCTTGCCTACTTCGACCAGGCTACCATGACGGAGGAGATCGTGGCTCCCGGAGGTATCTCCTTCTGCAAGGATGTCTCAGTATGATGTCCTGTCAGGGTGCTGCCGTAGTAGCATATTCCCAGACTAACCGATGAAGGGAAACATGGTCCTGTAGTGGGGAACTCCAAAGTTCGCAAGGCACAGACATGCTGAGCCTCTGCCTTTATGCAAAGTGCATCTGAAACAGCGCCGAGGCAATGTCACCATGAAGATGATGAAGGCCAAGTGAGAGAGCCAGAGCTGCACACCCCCTGATGATAAGCCCCTAGTCGTGGATTTGGCTTTGGGAATTTTGGCCGCCCGCGTATGGGGGATTCTTGGTCTGTTGTGTTGCTCTCAATTAAGAACCACCTATAGAACGGGCTTTCGGTGCGTGAACTGTAGGCGTGAGCTGTAGGCGTGAGCTTTCTGTGAGCGTGGACTCAGCAGGCCATGTACGAGCCTATGTACCATCTTTGCGAGACGGCAAAGAATGTGGAGACTAAGTGGTTCGCGCGAAGCTCAGCAACTCTCGTTGGCATGCATTCCGGGCGAAAGCATCATTTTAGTTCTTCTCAGTCCGTCCAGCTCCTTGAAGCCAGAGGCCCTGACGGACAACTACCATATCGTCAAAGCCCCCGTGAGCGTCCTGATGGAAGAGATGCTTGGCCTGTTGAATGGCTTTCAGGGGTACGATTGCAAGTACCCTTCGAAGGGGTCCCCATTCTACAAAACTCTTCTGCTTTCTGCTTCTTCAAAGGGACCGCAAAGGCTCTATGCCCCGATGGTGCCCGTGCTCTTAGTCCGCAGGTTTGGGGTTTCCGGTTTAGGTGCTTACGGCTTGGGGTTTGAGGAGCTGTTACTTGGAGCTTGGACATTCCGAAGTTAGCGATTCCTTTGTTGAAGTCAGCACCCCAAGAGTGGTATGAAAGCGTATGAGCTCCAACATGAGCTATAGTCTAAACTCCTTAAAGTGGGTTATATGGGGGATTATGTGGGGGAGTATTATAACGCTATTAAGGGGGATACTAGTAGGACTATAGCTCACATGGGAGGAGCGCTTTTCTGTTCCCTAAGCCCTAGACCGGTGTATTTGCGATGCGATCTCACAGGGTCGGTGCTTTTCTTGCTACGTTGAGTCAAGTTTCTGTTAATGAACCGCTCCCCATCTCTTCTAATAAACGTTCCCCCCTCCCCAATACATGATGATGCTATCAGGGTAGTTGTTATTGGGGGTGGGGCGACGTGTTATTAGGGAAAGGGATCAACAACGTGGTATTTTTTCTATTCCTAGTCTTGCTCCTCAAAGAGCTCTTGCAGCCACTCCAGAAGCTCGTCTTCCTCAACCAGGATATGAGCTATAGTCTAAACTCCTTTAAACAGGGTTATATAGGGGGTTATATAGGGGACTACTATAGGGTTTATTAAGGGGGATACTAGGAGTTTAGACTATAGCTCATATCGCTTCATGCTTGTAACATCTTGTGACTGATACGTTCAAACTGCCCAGCATGGCACGCAAGCGCGCAGCGGGCGCAGAATCCTACATTTTGCACTCTTGCCTCGGCATCCCCATGAGACAAGCACGTCTCGGTAAGACTCAGTATATACGCAGCCAAGTCGAAAGGCTTGATCAAGTCGATATGCCTATGACCTCAACCCATGACGTCAAACGTACAGCCTCAGCATCAAGGGCATATGCCAAAGTCATGGTCCCTACCTGGAAGGACCATACCTTTTGGGGGGACCAGGGGCCCTGTTTTTTTTTTCATTTCCCGCATGCTGCAGTGACGACGTGCCGGTCCTGCCATACGTGCTCAAGAACTCCAAGTGCGACCCTTTCCCGAGATTGACAGGAGGATCTCTGTCCATGCATGTGTCGAGCAGAAACCCCCGACCCCAACAATCAAGCTTGTTGCTGCCCCAAATCCAATCGAGTAACCTTTTCGGATACATCTCTGTTGGGAAGGAGGTGACCACATGGGGACCGTTCGTCTTCTAGCGGTGACATGTTCATTATCTGGAACATAGAGACTTAACATAAACCCCATGAAGGCTTGTTAGTGGGTTGGGATAATACCCAAAATATCCCTAAACCCTAAACCCTAAATCCTATACCCTAAACCCAAGCCTTGACCTGGGTGTGACACTGGCAGAAATAGAGACTTCCTGTTGATTTCATAACGGATCATCCACTCAATAGTAGCCTCCCCGTGCCCGACCAGTGCACATTCCTCAGTAACATAAGGATACAATATTTGGGCTATTTATTGTTAGGGGGTGGGGGTTGCCATTAGCGGAGGGGATTATTAAAAATTCCGTGCGCATGAAGTGCGAGGGAGCGTTCAAGATAAGGAGGGGAGGGAGTTTGTGATATTGGGTTGATGTAAGGCCGTTTAAATGATTGGATTGAGAGGCGCAATGGAATTGGATTCAGTTCCCAGCATAACCAGGAAGTGCTTGGGTCTGGGGCTGGGACCCTGCTGACAGGAGGAGAGATGTTCAGGAGCCTTGCCCACATCAGAACGGCTCAGAAAAAAGTTCCTAAACCCTAAACCCTATATCACCCCATTATAATAGATTCCATTTCATTTTCCATTCTCCCAATATTAGGTCATATCTGAAAGGCGGCCGCATAGGCTGCATGCCGTTTTTCTCAGATAAGGCTTCTCCTGCCAGGTTACAAGGCTCGCTGTGTTGGGATGAGATTATGGGGTCTATATAGGGATTATAGGGTATATATTGGGGTTATGTTGGGATAATGGAAAACAAAATGGAAATTACAATTTAGGGTTTAGGGATTAGGGTAGTGACGGGAACTCCAGGCAAGGTTCCACAAATTTTTTGGAAGCTCCTACATAGGTCGAATGGAGGTACTGCGCGGAGCGGCCCAACTGCAAGGCTTCTATGGAGCAGGCTATGAAGGTTTAGGGTTTAAGGTTTAGGGTTTAGGGTTCAGGGTTTTGCTTTCTACTTGGGCTTAAGGGTTTGTGGTTGCGGGTTTGGGCGGGTTGGTGCTTGCGTGAACATTCTTGCAAAGGGGGTTCATGGGAACTGTTTTTGACCCAAGTCTTAGCTACCCTCAATACCCTGAACAGTACAGAAATGTAGGGAGTATCGTCGCTGCCTCCCCAAACCCTAAACCCTAAATTGTAGTTTCCATTTTATTTTCCGTGATCCTAAGATTACCCCAATATACACCCTATAATCCCTATATAACCCCTAGGGATCTGTAAAATGGCCTTGGGATGGTGTAGGGAGGATTCACATCTAAACCCTAAACCCTAAACCCTAAACCCTAAATCTGAGGTCCTGGTTGTTTTTGTTTGGGTTCAGGGTGTCTAAGCGCGGGTCTTGCCTTGCTGCGCTGGAGTCTACTGTGTATACTATATAGCTCACAGGGTTTCGGCTTCAGGAGGTTTAGGGTTTAGGGGGAAGGGGTTTAGGGTTTAGGGTTTAGGGTTTAGGGCCGGTGTCCAGTTGCCTGGGGCCCTTGATTACGCATCACTCTAGGTATGGGCAGGAGGTACGATTGCACTTTGGGCCTTTGGGCGCTCCTGCTGGCGGCCTTTCAGGCTTTTCTGGATTGCCCTTATAGCTGAAGTTAATATGATAAGGCACTATGCATATAGTACATAATTAATATGGTTTTCCCTTTGTATGGTAACTTAACTTATGTTGTTCAACTGTATCTCAGTCGTTCTGGGTAAGTTATACCTGCAAATCACACCCATCCAGAGGAACGAACCCTACCAAGTCATGTAGGAGCCAGATGGGGGTTTCCCAAAATCAGCGATAACTTTTTGGGGTCCCTGTAATAAGGATTGAATTACTTGGGGGTCCATATTGGGGTCCCCCTATGTATGGAAACTACCACATTCCTAATCTTATTTCCGCATATTCCTTGTATCAGTATCATAGTGTTCGCGCCGACATCTAATTCTACTCACGCAGGCCTGAACAATGCAGGGTTTGTCGGTGCTGTTGCCAGGCTGAGATGCTGTTCAGCATTGACCTCAACTATCACCATGACAAGTACGAGGTGCTGTACAAGACCGCTCCTAGCATGAAATACGCTGTTCTTCAAGTTAGTGGTGCGGTTGCAAGAACTATTGTTAAGGTAGTAGGCCTTGGCAAGCTCGTAGGGAGAAAGATTCCAGTATCAATCGAAGGAACCCCCCCAAGAATTGGAATGGAAGTTTGAGCACCTAGCGTCGATGAGTTGCTGTTGTTACAGGGCGGTTCCTCAAAACGGGTGGCCCTTAGGGACTCTGGGGATTTGTGGGGATTACAAAGGGAGCATGGGGGTCCTTGTGAATCCTTTTGTGGGAGTAGTTCTCAACAGCTTTTTGCAGCAGTGTAATGCAATGAGCTTCACATCGTCGTTGTTACAAACTTGTGTCTGTGATATGCTTGCTTGGCTGTTGAGCGGCTAGTACGACAGCTGTTCGCATCATCTCTTATATCTTTCTTCTTAGCAAGAGGCTGTGGCCCAACGTTTTGGTTGGTTGCTGTTGATTGTGGTCAGCTTCCGATACTTCAAGCCTTGCTTTGCGACCTAGGGTTTATGAAAGCTTGGAAGCCCCCTGCGCCTTAAGACAGAGGTCCAAAGACCTCACGTTCTGAATATTGGACACCTTTCGTACACTAAGCGCCACCAGCTCGCAACCTGTTAAGCCTCATAGACGGCATGATAAGAGCCGTCTTCGAGGTTCCCGTGCGCCAGACCAGATCACATGTGTCCGTCTAAAGTCACGTGGATTTCGGTATGCCCCTACCCTTAACCCCAGACACTATAGGCCCTAAACTTTGAACCGCAGCCAGCAAAGGAAGATGCGATTTCGTTCTGCAAGGCCTGGGATACGGCCACGGAGGGCAAGGGCTACGGCAGCTCGGATGTTGTACCATTCAGACCTGGGCTGGAGTCAGACCCCGGCTAGAGTCTGAACTCCTTTCAGGGGGATTATTTAGGGGATTAAACAGTATGATTGTGGTTATTAAGGGAGATACTTGGCGTTTAGACTATGGCTCACCTGAGTATTTTGAGTCAGTCGTTCTGCCATCTGCCACAAATGGGGCTCGCGTTCTATCCCCCGAAGGAAGAGTAGGATCCAAAATTTGGAGACATCCAATATATTCCAGAATTGTGGCGCATACCGAGTCATAATGATGTTATTACAAAAAAATCATCACCATAACATCCTTAATGAGGCGGCGACGGACAGTGCCCCATGTGCCCCGGAGGGCAGCTCGACCAACTAGAAAGTTCTCCTGCTCAAGCCAGTTGTATCCAGCATGCAGCCGTCCTGAAAATTCTCCAAAAGGCAGATTTCAATTTCCCACATCCGCCCCACAAAGCTTGTTGCAGTTTATGCCGCAGGAAAAAATGGGCGCCTTGCCATGGGGCAAGGCGCACCCCAATGGCTGATTTCTTTGTGGGGACCTTGACGTGCCGGCACGATGTCCTGCACGGGCTGGGGTGCACGACTGCTTCCTCTGATGCTCGTGCTTTGCTTAGCTTGTGCTCGTCGCATTGGCCACCTGAGCACCTTGGTGTCCGGGACAAAACTAACCTCTTTGATCACGCTCTACCCAGAAATGCTCCGCGCCGTCCTCCGGAATCTCCATGTCGCCCTCTGTGTTCGCCATCTCTGTGTTCGCCATCCGTCAGTTGCTTCTGAGTGGATTGTGCTTGGAAGCCGCAGGCGAGGCAAGCGTTCTGTTGTTCTCTAGACCCCAGTTGACTTTGCTTGTTGCCCTGTTTCCGGACAGGCATTGGCAGCTTTCTTCGTCTTCCGTCACTCGCGTGTGGACCCACACCTGTCTGCACGGGAGTTTCTCAGTCTTTGCATGAACTGCTTTCTCAGTGGTGTCCCTTTATGTGCAGGTTGCCACGAGCTGCTGTTGGACGGGGCCACTAACATCAACCGGATCATGGTTGACTTCGGCTGCGACTGCCGAAGCTGCATCTCGGTGCCTTCGCGGCGCGCGCCGCCTGAACAGCCGAAGCTGTGAGGGCTGCGTCACTAGCAGAAAGTTTGCCCCTTTGGCCGAGTACCTAAGAAAGGGGGGGGCACTGCTCTCGCCCGCGCCCTTTGCATACCAGACGGCTGAGATTGCGTTAGGGACCTCTTTTGGATCCTTTGTGTGCAGTCCCTGGCCGGGAGACATGGTACCAGAGAGTTGTAGCGGAACATCTCAGGATGTTTGAGTATGCAGGGGTGACACTGGACCAGGGAGGTTCGTACATTCTCCACATCCAAGTTTCTAATCCACCCAGCCCTGGCTGTGGCTCCTACTCAAAACAACATAGGAGGGCAATACTTCACCAAGGAACACAGACAATCTCTTGCAGCACATACTGCGAGCCGCTCCATATCTTGCCTACCTTGTGTTTTGGGACCTTGTTCGTGTTTGTAACAAAGATTTGTGGATATCAAAGTGATGTGGGTTTCCTACAGGATGTTGCTCCAAGCCTTGGGCATTTTGCTTGGGAATCTCTGGAGCCCTTGCAATTCCAGCTGGAAATCCTCCCTAAACTCCAAGCTCCAAACTCAGGGTTTCCTTGTTGCTTGTGCCTGTACTGGACATGAAGGCTAGCCGAGAGAAAATCTCTCACAGAGTTTTACTAAATTGCGCCACCACGAGAGCTATAGTCTAAACTCGCCGTATGCCGCTGAACCCCCGTAATAGTCCCCTATATAAAATCCCCTATGTAACACCCTTTAAGGAATTTAGACTACAGCGCACATGTAAACCCTAAGCCCTTAGCCCCCCCCCTTATTTTGGACGCTCCAAGCTCCAAACAGACCTGCAGCTGAGTATTTTTTTTGGGGGATACTATGGTATCCGAGATAGTAAGATCACATCCTCCTTTTGAGGTATAGTATGCTATATACAGAATTAAGCCTTACTTGGTTCAACCATCCAAGAAAAGACTACGCAGCTGATGCTGTAAGGCAATTGCACTTTGTCTTTCGGTCCCACTGGTGCAGCTCGAATTGACAGGACTTAGGCTTCAGGATTTCATGTCTTAGGGTTTTAGGGTTTGCGCTTCAGGGTTTGTAAAAAAGAGGCAGAATTGCCAGTCATGTTCCTTCACAGATAGAATATAATTGTAAGCAAAGAACTCCGAACCTCTTGTATGTACTCCAGTTTTTGCTGCCCTTATAGCATGTCCTTGTCCAAGACGGCTGGTTGCTGTCTGGGGTGTTCCAAATTCGTGGGTAGCATTTTGGGGGCTCCCAAGGATGTGGGTGGTTGTCAAAACTACGGTCCCTTTTTGGATCTCTATTATGAGACGGCACCTAATAATTAGGGTACCCGAAAAGGGCTCATAATTTTGACAGCCACCCACATAAGCAGGACAGTGGTTGGAGTATCAAACTTGGTGGCTGCTGTTCGGTCCCTTGCCCATTCTTTCAATGCTGTGTCTAAAAAGTTAGAGACGTCCGCCTCGAGTTTCATGACCACACGGTTTAGGGTTTTTCAGGGCTTATGGGTTTCAGTACCCCAGAGATGCTTGTGATTTTGGCTACCCTGTGTAGACTTCTTCTTGAAACCACCGATGACCTCCGACTAGTGAGTATTATCAATCAGGTTGAATTTCCCTATCTTAACCCTAAGCCCTAAACCCTCAGCCCTAAACCCTCAACCCGAAACCTTCAACCCGAAACCCTAAACCCTCAACCCGAGACCGTCAACCGAAACCCTAAGCCCTGAACCCACGTTGTTCCCAGATGTTCCCAGCACGCCTTGCAGAACAGTCCAACTGCAGGCATGCACCCAAGCAACTCGGGGCATGTGGGACTAGATGTTTGGCGGCTGATACTGCATGGCATAATTTCAGAGTTTAATTGGTAGTTTCGTGAATGGGGGGACCCAATGTAGACCCCGAAGATACTATAATCCCTCACACGGGGACCTCACAAATGGTACCTCTAATTTTGGAACATTCACTAGTATGAATGCCGCAGACATGGGTTCGGCAGCATTCAGCCAAGTAGTTTCTTATCCTTACGACGTCAACATTTTGGCCCACCTAAGGATGACTACATTGCCTGGAAGATCAGCTCGCCCATGTTCAACATCACCAACGAGTTTGTGCCTAAGGACAAGGCGGGCAAGTAGCCTCAAAGGATATGAGCGAAAAATTCTGGATGGTTGCTTTTGCGAGGGAAGATCATTTTGAGGCAAAAGCTGGTCATGAGCATGCAGCATCTCTTTTTTAACGCTGGTTAGTACTGGGTTGGAGGGATGCGGCAAAGAAGAGCCTTTTCCGACTTAAATGTTTTTCCTTTGCAAAAGAAGTTATAGTTATGCTCAGGTAGGTTTCACATATTGCGGAACTCCAGAAGAGGCCGGAAGACTTTCTCTAAGTCAAGGATCCATTTTGGGGGTCCCTAACGCGGACTGCGCCCTAAACCCTAAACCCTAAACCCTAAACCCTTCTGGGGGCGCATGCGGCGACCAACTTTTGGCAACCGTATACAGATTTGCGGCAAGTCTAGCCTTGAGATTGGGCAGACTGTTGTTGTGTTGGTGCTTTAACACAGAGCTGGGGTCAAGTTTACTAGCCAAGTACTAGTAACAGCAAAAGTAACAGCAATAGTAACAGTAATAGCAGCAGGGATAGGTATAGTCATCGTAATAGTCATAGTAAGTAAGAGCACCAGCAGTAGTAGCAGTAGCAATAATAATAGTAC